GCGAGTACAAACAAGCGAAGATGGGTGAGTGGCTTCCAGTTTCCCATCTTCTATTCCTTAGCCCCTTCATTAGGTATCAGTCATCGGTAACATTCTCGGGCTTTTTGAACGCGCTTGACGGCGTTGCATCAGGAGAGGAACGGATCATCTTCATGACATCCAATCACCTCGACAAACTCGATCCGGCGCTCATTAGGCCTGGCCGCGTCGATCTTAGCGTCCTGGTGGACGACGCGGCACCGTCTCAAGTCAGGACACTCTTCACGCGTTTCTACGGCGAAAGCAATGAAATACCTGCAGAAGAAGTCGACAACATGGGGCGACAACTAGAGGAGCTCACAGCCACGGAGATGCGTGAAGGGCGACGGATAAGCATGGCTGCGCTCCAGGGCCACTTCATCAGGAACGGTCCTAGGGAAGCTGTGGCAGGATGTCGCGACCTTTTCATAAAAAAGCGGACGTGATATACAGCTGGTATATAGCATGTAGTACACGGGGTGCCGACATGGGTAAGATATGGTGAGAAAAATAACAGGATATTGTCAGAAAGCAGGCTTGCGCTTCCGAGCAGTGTATTTTGAGTCTCGAGGGACACCTTCCTTCCCTCTTTGACGATACAGCTATGTGATCAATTGAGTTCGGGTGCAATCCCGGGTGAACAGCAGGGTGCTTACTTCCTTCTTTTTTAATATCCAGTCCTTGTCTTTCACGGCCTTCCTCTTCCCGCTACGATCGCGCTTCCTCTCTTTCTCCCTCCTGTTCTCGAAGCGTGCATGCTCGTCCCCGTCGCCCGCTAGGCCCATTGGCAACTGCTGCTGTTGCCCGCCGCCTCCGCCCCCGACAAACAAACACAAGAATACCTTCCTTGCCTTATTTGAGTTGGGGTAGTCAACCACGATACCTCCTCCAAAACCAGCCTTTTGTGCTATAGAAGTGATGAGCTGTATTTGGTCGTCTGACGTCGGGTAGAACTGGAAGATGGCGCGTGAGGGGTTACGGAGGGCAGAATGGAGAGTCGTAAAGAAGCGGTTTAGGCGGTGTGGGGGTGATGATGTTGGGTGGGATGTTTCTGCGTTTAGAAGCCACTGAAGGACAGATATGCTGCGGTGATGACACGTCTACATTGGTGTGACGAGATGGATGAAGTTTGCGTTACCTTATTGCACCATCGAAGCTACCTGGGCGGAAACCAAACCCCTGACCGACATCTTGCAGAAACAAGTCGCCTTCCACTTCTCTCTCGAGGGCTACCTCTGATCTTATGTTGGAACTTGTCCTAATCGTCGGTAAATTGATCGACCCACCAAGCATACTTGGGGCAATATCTACAGCCCGCCCAAATATATCCCTCCTCGTCGAGAATCTCACCTGACAAACCGGATCCACAGCCAATGTCAAGGAGGATCGCTGGATCACCTGGAGGAATGTTTAATAGCTCCAGTGCCCGGATAGGTCATGTCTGCTTGGATCTGCTGATTTCGAGAACTTGACGAATCGTTCAGAAATCCCGTCACGACTGGGTCGGATGCCGATAGCTTACTTTGCAGTGTATTTTTTGGCCTCGGTGTCCCCATAATACTGGAGGTTAAATAGTCAGTGTGATTCATCTCTTAACGAGGGTTGGAGGATCGCACGATCTCTGGTGGTGCTTGAAACTCGGGGCGAGACATGATTTATCCAAGTCAACTTCCGTGATTCCGAAGCTTGTATGTAGCAGAGTATTATTCCCCTCTTCGAGAAATTTTGCGTTGCGTGTAACGAAATAGACTGTAACACCCTTTATACTGCACTTGCCTCGGCTTTGCTCAGGCTGCTTTGAAGGGAAAAATCGTTCACGTGACCTATACAGTATCTCCTAAAACGAATTGATCACTACCACGACGTATTTCGGGCTCGACACATTACCAACGATGGCGACGGCAAGCAAGCAATACAAAGCCATCGGCGAGGACCTTTGGAAAGGCCGTACCGAGAAAATAGTATGCCAGACTTTCATTATCTAATCTACCTTTAGGCGTGTTCGAGGAGGGACCCTGACTGACCTATAGAACAGAACGCAGAATTGTTCGCGCTCACGTACGGCGCACTGGTAGTACAGCTGATCCAGGACTACGAAGACTATGCGGAGGTCAACAAGCATCTTGAAAAAATGGGCTTCAACATCGGGACAAGGCTGATCGAGGATTTTCTGGCAAGGAGTTCTCTCGGTCGCTGCTCAGACTTTAGAGAAGTCGGAGAGGTAGTTGCAAAGGTGCGTGCGCTCGTAGTTCATGGTTTAGACTGATGTGATGGTTGTCGCAAAGGTCGGCTTTAAATCCTTCTTGAATATCACGCCAGGGGTCACACATACTGCACCGGCGTCGAGACCAAACAGCGTCTCGCAACAGTCCAGTGTCCCCAGCTCATCATTCATTCTCACCCTTGATGAGAACCCTCTGGCAGAATTTGTGGAGCTGCCAGACGAGGCGCTTGAAGGCGGCCTATGGTTTAGTAATGTGTCTGTGTGGTGTAATCAGAGGGGCATTGGAGATGGTGCGTATCGACGTTCCCTCTTCAGTGAGATTCCGAGCATCTCATCCGTCGTGCTGTAGGTACAAATGCAGGTACAAGCAGAGTTTCTATCAGATGTTCTACGGGGCGATGAGAGTACCGAAATACGCGTCACATTATTGAAATACCTGGAAGAAGAGGTACCTATAGGGGACGATTAGATTCACCTGTATTTCTAGATTTCCACTGCAAACTTGGGCATGTATTAATTCCAGAGTAATACCGATATTCACCGTCGTTATTTGTGCGATCAGAACTTGGCGAGCGTGACAAGAGGAGCTGCCAGAAAACTTTGGATATATAGATGTGATACTGTATAAATGTGCAAACAATGCGTTCAGCCAAACCGATGTAACCTGTTGAGCCTCTTCGCCGTCTTGGCATTCGATTGCGTATTCTGTCCTCTGACAGGTAACCCCATCGCATGCCTCTTTCCCACATAACTCCCAATCATTCTCTGGTGGGCAATGCTATCTCTTACCACTCTTCTCGCCTCCGCCTCAATTTTCAAGGTCTTCAATGGATCCGGCGCGCCGGGCGATGAGTCCGCGAGAGCTCGTTTGCGGAGCATTTCTGGGGGTGTGGAGACTGGAGGAGGCTTAAACCCGGGTGGGGCGAGTGGCATGCGACGGAGTGGGGGTGCAGTAGAAGGAGAGGCGAGGAACGAGGCAAGTTCAGTGATTTGGGTCGCTGTTAGATCCCGCACTTTTTGGCGGTCGTGGATTTGCAGTCGCGCGCAAAGACGTCGCGCTGTTGCGTTCCCGATGCCGTAGAAAGTGGCCAGGGCGTGCTGGTGTGAGGTCAGTCTGACGAATAATAACACCCTCCAGGGCTCCGCACGTACCCTTGCATGAATTAAGTCCGGCAGTAGTACCCCAAGGACGTGGACCATTGTCGAATATGGGCGGAGGAAACTGAGCGATCGCGAGCAGTTAACTGGCACAAAAAGCAAATTTCACACTCCGCGAGTTGGAACTCTTTACCTTTGCTCACACCCAACACAGTTACAACAGGCGCTCTCATCCATCCACCATGTCTTCTAGCATGACAGAAGGACGTCGACAGGATGACCTTATTAAACAGCGTCTCCAGAACCGTGAAGAATACGAGCGTCAAAAACAGAACCTCATAAACGAAACCGAGAAGTCGCGTCCTTCAGCTAGCAAGTTTGTAGGGCAAAATGACTCTATGGAAGATAACTTGAAGAACAGCACTGTTGGTCTTGTGCGCCTGGAGGACTTCCAGCAGAGGAGAAAGGAGTTGGAGGAGGCAAAAGCACGAGAGGCGGCGCGCACCAATGAGCTCAAGTAAGTCGATGTTTCGGTCTCGCGATTTCTCGAGCATAGCTTTTCTCCCTGTCATTCACCGCGGGAAAGGTGGCTAATAGTACGTGGAGTGTTTGTTTAGGGAGGAAACGAAGAAGATAAAGAAGCGTAAGAAGGCAAAGTCGACTCTATCATTTGCCATAGACGATGAAGAAGGTGACGGGGAAACGTCGTCTCGCCAAACTCCAGATGGGGTGAACGGTGAACATGCAGTGAAGCGCGCCAAGTTAGGCAAGAATCCCAACGTCGACACGTCCTTCCTCCCTGATCGTGACCGAGAAGAAGAGGAGAGGAGGGAAAGGGAGCGACTTCGTCAAGAGTGGCTCCGAAATCAGGAGGAACTCAAGGCAGAGGAAATCGAGATTACATACTCCTATTGGGATGGCAGCGGACACAGGAAGTCTGTAAATGTGGGTGCTTTGGGCTACGCTTCCGAGTTAGCGTTCTTAATTCCTGGCATAGTGTAAGAAAGGCGACACGATCAGTAGCTTCTTGGAAAAGTGTCGTCAACAGTTCCCTGAGCTGAGAGGTATCGGCGTTGACAACTTAATGTACATCAAGGTAAGGTTCTTACACTGTCAGACATCCACATTCCTGACCCGCCGTTCGTTTGCCAGGAGGATCTCATAATACCTGGTGTAAGTAGGCTCCTGAGTGGGGCTGCCACAACACTCATGACTGGCGCAGCATTATACATTTTATGACTTCATCGTCAACAAGGCCCGGGGCAAGTCAGGGCCTCTATTTAACTTTGATGTCCACGATGATGTCCGCCTGCTTGCTGACGCAACGAAAGAGAAGGACGAATCACATGCCGGGAAAGTGGTGGAACGGAGTTGGTACCAGAGAAATAAACATATTTTCCCTGCGTCACGATGGGAGGTAAGACCTTGACTTCCAGTTTTGGTTTCACTGATCCGAGGCATGTTTACTCCCAGGTATATGACCCAGAGAAGAGCTATGGAAAGTACACTATTTCCTGACGTGGTGTATATTGTACGCTTGGATGTTCTATTTGACCATTGATCCAAACGTGAATATTTGAATGTTGAAATCAACCTTGTGAATGCAGGAGGAAAGGCACATGTAGAGTAGGATTGACTGGATAGCTCCGAAACAAAAAGGTGCCAGGACCGTGGATTGAACACGGGACCTCCAGAATCCGACTTCGCTTCAGTCTGTTGCTCTCCCAGCTGAGCTATCCCGGCGATGAATTTACGTTTTTCTTTTACAAAATGTAACAAGTCATGAGAGATGGCAACGGTGGCGGGTGTGTTCTTGTGATTGCGACCGCCACTTGTCTGGCTTTCAGGTGGGACAGTATATAAAGAATGACTGTCCACACCGATGAACAATTCACTCTTTTCTTCCACGCATTTTGGCCGAACAAAGCTCTCCTACTGTTCCCAGTCGGTCTTCAAAAATGGCCACAGTGACAGAACGCTACCTCAAGGACCCTGGGTCCTCTTCGAACCCTTCGTCGAGCGCCAGCGCCAGAGCCGCGCCAATTGCTGCAGGTTACAACGTCGGACCTCCCGTTGACCTCCGGGACCCACCATCTGACCAAGTCGTGGTGGACTACCCTCCGATCTTCGCGAACCCCTGCCGCTTCAGACCCTTTGAAGAGGACCTCAACCCCCTCACGGAGACACCGCGGTGGCAAAAGGACCTAGACCACCACTTTACCATTATCTTCAAGGAGTCCGTGTTGTCGGATTACTCGATCGATGAAATGGCCACACGGACGTTACAGATTGTTGGCAACCCGACAGCTTTGAAGATTCGTGGTCTTGCCCAGGCAGTGCTCATCCATTGGACGCGTATGCAGTTTGACTCCGGGGATATGAACGTTTCCGCCACCGAGCTTGTCGCTCTCGTGTCGAGGATATCGCGTCATCTGGGCTGTGTTTCGGTCCACGCGAAACAAGACTTCCTGGACGAGTTGACCGTGCATTTTGCCTTGAGAAGCTAAAGATAACGTGGCGCTGGGTATGACCCTCACAGGTCCTTGGGTCATGTAATTACTAACATTCCACAGCTCGTCGAGGTCTCCACCGGCGAACAACTACCCCTATCTCGCGAAAACATCTTGACACGAGTCGTGGCAATCATCACGATTATAGGCCATCTCTTCCGAGGCAGCCAACTGCCATACGGAGGCGCACTCGCTGGACTTGAATACTTTGCTGGTTTCACGCCCCTTCCCCAGGCAGTGGCTACGATTTATGCGCTGTTGTTACGGCTTGGGCCGGAATTTGCGATCCAAGCAAAAGGTTGTCACTTCATCCGCTGTCTTCTTGCTAAGCTTTCCCAGTTCACCGTGGGCCGTCTTCCTGTCGATCCCCTTTGTCAACTGGTACGTCTGCTGTTCCTGTTCTTGACATGCTCAGCAGGGTTCATTGAAGAAATCATGAAGGTATTCGCGATCAACGCGCTTGTGGAGGAGTGGCAGCGCAGCACTCGCACCACACTATATCACACCAGCGTAAATCTCCCGCATGCGCCATAGCCTACGGGCGTCACCATTAAATTCACAGATCAGTGATCGGTATTCTTTCGGTAATTTCTGAGTGTATATAACAATGCCTGGTTGTACTACACATTGTCTATCCACTCAAAGGCCATAAAGCATGGTGCTGTGATGCATACATATATGAACCTATGTTTTAATTATAAACTATTGATATCCAGGTTGTTCTGTTTCCTGCACGGGTCAGTAAGTAGGGACCGGATCTCATGAGGACACGCGCATCAGCACTGTCGCATCAGGGTAAGTGGTCGATATAATGCGATATGATATCGAAGAAAGTCCACAACAGCCCGTGTGTGGTGATGCTCCGTACTGCGCTCACGCCGAGACCTTGATATATTCGCGCTATACCAGCAAGTACTGGCTTGGGATCTTTAGGATCCGGGCCTATGTAGTGTAATTGAGCAACAGATGAGACGTGTATAAGGGGTTCAGCCATACCCCTCACAAGCCGACGGAAAGTTTCCCATACTCCTCTCGGAGGAGTGCCAGCCAAGGCACGTTGTTGCACTTTTGTCTTAACTCTGGAAAAATATAGGCATGGTTCGAATCATTCGAATGAGGTAAAAGCCCTGAGTAACTCGGGCGAGAACGGACTCACACGTCAAGAGGGTAAATAAGTGCCCACGAAGTGACACCAGCAAGTGAACCGCAGACAAAGGGGATCAAAGAGACGGGTATCGGTAACCACGGAGGTGTCGGACCTTGCTCTCCTGAGCGCTGTCGGCCGAGGAGATGGCGCATTGCATCATATTCAAAGAAGTATAGAGCAGTTCCGGCCGTGTCCCGCACTATGTGAGGATTCGAAGACATACGTTGAGTGGTACGACAGACGCGAAAAAAGGTTGCAGTCACAAACCAAAGTGAAGTCGAAAACCAATGTAAAGACCGGGTAAACCATTCGTTCTGAATATCTCACGAACAGCTTCTAAAGTGCCGGGTGGTTTCGCCAGGTGAACGCCCTTGCTCGCAGCAATGCTGTACTCGAGTTGTCTACGGACCTATTAGGATGACAGTCAGAATGACAGCGCGGCTTCAGAAACGCGTATCGTGAGACCTTTACGAGTTCAAATGCTGGTGTAATTAGGTGTGTCAGTAGGCGAAAACAGAGGGAGCAAGGTAGTAACACACGGGCACTCGCGACAGAGATCAGTGACCCAGACAATGCACCGCTAATACCACCAGCAATTGCAGCATCAGACATCTTATTTCGAGTGAAATAGTTGTTTTTGCGACAGTATTCCTTAGTGTCACTGTATACCGTAAAGGATGCCGCGCCTGCAAGGTACTCAGCTCGAAAACAAGAGGACGGAACAACCAAGAACTCACGGACGAAGGATATCGTCACCAGAGGGATCCATAGCCCACGGTAGAAGCCTTTCACGCCCTCCTCCCCATACACGAGGACTGCCAATTTTGGAACCGAGATTGGGGTTCTGGTAGTTTGTAGCCTCGACTTCAACGAGTCCAGCTAGGGCACATCCCAGTTAGACCATATGTGAGTCTTGAACAGCCCAAGAAATCGTACCGGATACCCTGCAATTGTAGATATGTAACTCGCTGAGAGAGCACACACTACCGACTTGTTTCCTGTGTGCAAAAGATTCAGGTATTGGGACTGGCAATCGCAACGAATCGTACGTTTCAGAGCATCGTTCAACACCGCGTGGTCGAACCAAGGATTTGGTGGCGTTCTGCTAGATGTATGGGCGTCTACCCTAAGAATACATGAAGATATAGGGCATACACTGTTCCATCCATGGGCGCCGTGCGTTCTTCACTGGACCAGCTGCAAAGCCCAGTTTCGTGCGCTTGCGCGTGGACTATAAGGACTTGCCAGATGGTAGATTATGTGCAGGTCTCGTGAGCTCTGAGATGGAGCCAGGAAGGAGAGCTAGAGGCCTCAGAATGACAGAATCAACTGCTTTGATGCACCCAAAGACATCATACCCGATTGGGACTGTTTTTTGACATCACTCAAATTGGTCCGAAAAGGTCAGGTTGCGCCGTATAAATCGTATGTATGGTAGAAATAATGTATAACACATATGCAATCACCATCGGGGCATTTAAGTAGCACTTTAGAATCCGCCTATCCGTTTCTTGGTAGGCTTCTTCTTCGCTCCGGCCGCTGGTCGTCCACCAAACGGGCCTGGCAGAACTTGTGTGCTGGTAACCGGTTCTTGCGAAAACACGTCCAGCGTAGACTCAAATAACGTCTGTGAATGTGTTCGCTGTATAGCCTGAGTCTGGGTGGCACTTGGGGGCTGATGGCCCTGTTGAATAGCGGGTGGTCGTGTAACCGTAGCAGCAACAACTGTAGGTGGTTGCTGTGATGGTACCAGCTTCCTCTGCGTCGCAGGCGGCCGACTTGGCAAAGCATGTCCTGTGTCGTCCTCCATGACGCCATAGGGATCGTGGTACGTATACTCTGTAGGGTCCGTCCCCACCTCCCACTCTGTCAGCAGAAGCCGGACCCCAAGTGGACTCGAAACAGCCGTATCCTGGTCGAGTTCTTTATCCTTCTTCGTGTAGTGGTCAACGCCAATTTTGCGAACCGGCCGAAGGTAGCCAAACCCAACCTCAGGAGGGTCATCACTGAAGGACCTCTCCTTCGTCGACTGTGAGATGGCTGTCCCACCTGCGGTCGACGAGCCGGGTTTCACGAATGGTTGAGCTGAATAGACGTTGCTCGACAGAGCCAAGTCAAGAACTAGCTGCTCCCGGGCTTCCACCTGGCGCCGCAGAAAAGGACCAGGACTTTCTGCGTCCGAGGCTAGGTCTAGCTCTTTCAGTCTTTCGTGTAGAGCGGCCCAATCATCAGAATGATTGTAGAACGGACGAGTGGACGTATTGTGGATGTTGTAATGCCACGATGCCCGACTAGCGAGGTCTCGGAAAGGCAAACCATCCCGCATCAAAGAGTAAAATCCTCTCTTTGAATTGATGCTGCCACCAGTGAGGACGTCAGCGCGCGAGGGTAGTTTGGGTTCCTCCCCGGTGCGAAATGCGACATCGAACCTATTTTAAATGGTATTCGTCTAGGAAAGCTTTAAATAAACGAACGCGAATGACCTTACGTTGTTAGCATGTTCTCCACCGTTGCCTCCGTCTCCTGCCAAAAGTTGGGTAGTCGTTCCATCATGTCGTCAAACACTTCTCCTTCGCTATCTTCCTGACCATCGTCTGGCATTGCAAAAATCTCTGCAGCAACCATTAGCGCTAGTCGTCTTATGAAAGAAAAGAAAAGACTGACTGTCATAAGCACCACCAAGGTCCACCTCGGTAAAATGCCTCATGCCAGCTGGGCCGACGTCAGGTTGTAGCTCATTGGCTACCCTGTCCAATTGCTGAACATCGTCGTTCCATTGTTGTGACGCACGGTCCTCCTGCACGTCTTGCAACTCATCTTCGTCGGGCCCAACAATACGAAAGTCTTGTCGGTGAATACTCCCCCGTTGACGTAGCCGAAGGAGTGAAAGGTCTGAGCCAGAAGGTAAACTGATAAGTGCATCGCCATTGTACAATGCCAGCATTGGACCGTCACAGGGCAGACAAGTTGGGGTGGAGTTGCAGTGTATGAGATTGTCAGGGCCCCTGTTGACATCGTACACGGTAACAAGACCACTCCTCCGCGACATCAGGAGTGATAAGGGTCCTAGAAAGACATCAACGAAT